TCGTTGGAGGATCAGTGCTGATATTGTTGTATTAAATCCTGTTTTGACATTTTTAACAGTGTACCTGTTATTTTTTTCCATGATATCCAGTGTTCATTTGCAACAACTTAGCAACCATATGTGATACCATAGCAACCGCCTAGCAACACTCTAGCACCCACCTGTGATACCTTGCCAACTATCCGTTAAACCATACCAACCAACTAGCAACAACTTACGAACCACCTGGGATAACCACGGTAAAGTTAGTTTAATGTTCGATATTCGTCTTTTCGGCGCTAATAACATTTGATCGGACTACGGTAGTCAGTAAAGACTTACATATTCATGACAGAACGACCACAGAGAGTGATGCACACCTGTTCTTTTGCAGTTTGGGTGACATTTAATGTACCGCTCTTTTTGTGTTAATACCATAGAACTGAGACAAGTATTTCAATCGGAAGAAAAAGCATGCACTTCTAGACCACGCCTACATCCACGCACACGAATTTGTTTTCCTCCAAAGCGTCAGACAATAAAACGTCAATAGCTCCGTAAATACTGTGTCCATACACGTCTGATTAATTGTGTTATTTGCTCTAAATTATGGTTAGAAATACAAACCACTTTAATTTAGAAAAAGGACTTTGAATTAACCTGTAACGAGTCAGATTTAAGTTTTAAATCTTGAACAATTTTTTTTTTCATTTTGAATTTCGACAACATTTTGGACGTTGAACATTTAAATCAGCAGTGTTTGGTGCAGGTAAGTTTCAGTAATGACACACAAACTTTGAATTTTACTTGAGGATATAATGAAGCTAAAATACTGCTTAGATTCAAAACGCAGCATTCACTGCAGTTAATGCAGCTGAAATGCTTTTGAAGGCTAAAATACAAATATTAATATAAAGTAATTATTGCAGTACATTCAAAATGTAAAAGTTGTATATGATTGCTGAAACTTAACTGCCCCATACACATTGTTTGTAGTGTTGGGTGTAATACAGCTGGAATATTTTTGAAATTCAAAATACTGAAAAAAGTATACAACGTAATTACAGTAATATATCCAAAATTAAAAAGTTGTGTATGATGGCTGACACCTCACTGCACCATATACAGCTGTTTTTAATGTTTATAATGCAGCTGAAATATTATTGAAATTCAAAATGCATAAAATTAATAAAAAGTAGTTACAGCAATATATACAAACTCCAAAGGCTGTACATCATTGCTGATACCTCGCTACACCATACGTAGCTGTTTATAATGTTCTATGTAATGTGACTGAAATATTATTGAAATTCAAAATACATAAAAACAATAAAAAGTAGTTACAGCAATATATCCAAAATCCAAATGCTGTGCATCATTGCTGACACCTCACTGCGCCATACACAACTGTTTTTAATGTTGTAAATAATGCAGCTGAAATATTATTGAAATTCAAAATACAGAATTACTAAAAAGTAGTTACAGCAATATATCCAAAATCCAAATGCTGTGTGAGTTTATAGAGTTCATAGAGTTTTAGTGTTGGAGCTAGGTTTAATCAATCATGCACAGCCTTTGGATTTTGGATGTAATGCCAGAAATGCATAATAATAATAATTTTTATAAATTTTGAATTTTAATAATATTTCAGCAGGATTCCATAGAACACTAAAAACAACTGTATACAGTGCAGCTAGGTGTCAGCAATCATACTTCAGGATTTTGGATGTAATGCAATAGCTAATTTATATTCATTTCTAGATATTTTGAGATTCAATAATATTTAATCCACATTTTGAAATATAATGCAATAAATGCATTATATTAATTTGTGTGTATTTTGAACTTCAAAAATATCACAACCACATTACATACAACACTAAAAGCCACTGTGTATGGTGCAGCAAGGTATTATCAATCATACACAACTTTTGGATTTTGTTTGTAAAGCAACAACTACTTTATATTAATTTTTATATATTTCGAGTTTCAATAATATTCAAGCTACATTACATAGAACACTAAAACAATGTGTATTATGCAGAAAAGTGTCCATGATGATGTACAATCTTTGAATTTTGGCTATAATGCAATATTTAATTTAGATTAACTTTTTTATGTTTGGAATTTCAATAATACTTCAGCCACCTTACATACAGCACTGAAAACAACTGTGTATGGTGCAGCTAAGCATCATCAATCATGCACAACCTTTGGGGTTTGAATGTAATGCCAAAACTACATAATATTCATTTTTATGTATCTTGAATGTCAAAAATATGTCAGCCGCATAACATAGAACACTAAATAAGAACTGTGTATGGTGCAGCAAGGTGCCCGCAATGATGCACAACCTTTGGATTTGGGATGTAATGCAGTAACTACTTTATATTAATTTTTATTTATTTTGAACTTCAATAATATTTGAGCCATCTTACATACAACACTAAAAATAACTGTGTATGGTGCAGTGAATTGTCAGCAATGATGCACACCCTCTGGATTTTGAATGTAGTACTACTTTATACTCAACAACTACACATTTTTTTCCATCATGAATTTCAAAAGGATTTTAGCTGCATTACTTACAACACTAAATCAGCTGCATTAGATCCAAAGGTAAAATCCAAAGTTTGTGCACCATCACTAACATCTGTCTGCACCAAACACTGTTTATTTCACTGTTAAATGTAATGCAGCTAAAATGCTATTGAAATTCAAAAAGGAAAATAATGTAAAGTATTACATTTAAAATAGAGATGTTTGTCATAACAGTAGCTGCACCGTTTGTAGTGGATTTTAGCATTGTATTTAATGTGGTTGAACCGCAATTGAAATGACAAGATGTAAATTAGGTATTTGATTACATCCATATTAATTTTTCAATGTAAAAGTTTAAAAGAATGAAAAATATTATATTATACTGTTATTCATTCCAAAAGAACTGCAGGTGTGCTATTATATCTCCCAGCTGTCTATTTGAAGACCGCCTCTAACTTGACAAATTGAGCGTTTGGTGTATTTATAAGCTTGAATTCTACTTAAATTAAATAAGACAGCCTTAAAGACTGAATGTCTTCATCAAGCTAACTGTATGTCAGTATACAGGTAACATCCCTTTTTACAGGTATTACAGTAGAATAAGTATGGGCATGTACATTTTTAGCTACCGGTTAATTAAATGTCCTTTTTTGTGGTGTACAATTGATGTGCAATTCTCACCATAGATTAAAGTAAACAATACAATTAATCAGATGTGTATAGACACAGTGCTTCTGGAGCTATTGACGGTTTTTGTCCTTGATCTTTTTTTTTTTGGTGCAACGGAATCTGTTGTTAAAGGAAACAATAAAATCTGTTTTTAAAAGCACTGAAACGATTTGGAGGAAAACAAATGCGTGTGCAGGGATGTAGGTTTGGTCTAGAAACGCGTGCATTTTATTCCGATTGGAAATCTCGTCTCACTTTTTCGGTATTAACACAAAAAGACCGGTACGTTAAATGTCACCCAAACCGCAAAAGAACAGGTGTGCATCACTCTCTGTGGTCGTTCTGTCATGCATATGTAAGTCCGTTCAAATGTTATTAGCGCCGAAAAGACGAATATCGAACATAAAACTAACTTTACCGTGGTCCTGGGATATCATAGGAACTGCTTAGCAACCACCTGTGATACCATACCAAATGCCTAGCAACCATTTAAAACGTGATCAAGAGTTAAATCCTGCAGGTTTAAGCAGCGTCCTTTGATTGTCGAACTTCTGAACGTGGACAAGTGAACCTTTAGCACAGGAGCGTCCAATCTTATCCACAAAGGGCCGGTGTGGCTGCAGGTTTTTATTCCAACAAAGCGTGAGATCACCTGATCAGCAGTTTAAAGACTGAAACCAACTGATTGAACAAGCGGAATCAGGTGTGCTCCAGCTTGTTTTGAGCGATAACCTGCAGCCACACCGGCCCTTGTGGAGAAGACTGGACACCCCTGCTTTAGCAGGTACGCCTATAAAGCACACGAAGTGTTTTTTTGCTGGTACTAATGTGATATCGAAGTGGATAGTTCATTCACTTTTATTTATTTCTCTTGATCAGGTTAATGAATCACTGAAATGTGTTGATGATAAATGTGATCAAACGTTACTTTTCTTTCAAAAATGTCCGCTAAGTTTAGTGTCTAGTTCTCTGTGCACGGCCTGTACGTTTAATCGCTTTGCTCAAGTAGCTGCATAGAGTGCTTGGCCTTGTCTCCGCACTGGTTTGGGCTAGTATTTGCCATTTATTAAAAATAAATAAATAAACTTCTCTTGTCTTGGTCTCTTTTCACAGCTCGTCTACCTGCTCCAGCTCCTTCAAGTGCATCTCCTTGCATAGCGACTTTGGCCCAACCGTCTCTACGGCCACGAAATGGCCCCACGTTTTGAGGTGAGTTTATGACGGTGGAGTCAATACTACACTACTAGACACTTCTTATTGTGAGACATAAACAAGAGAGCTGATCATCATCGTTCTCTTTAGGCTCTCTTTTAAATTGATGACGGAAAGTAAACTTGACACACGCACCGGTATTCTTCCTCTCCCAGCCTTGTCCGTCGTCAGTTGCGCTCCTGCTGCCCTTTTCCTTAACCGGCCCTTCTGAATGTGGATGCCCGAGTGCAGGCAGCCCAAGTGCCATCAGGCTTATCAGTGCTTAAGATCACTCGGCCAGGAGGGCGCTCCACGCAGACGCTTTGTATAGCATTTCCAGCTGTCCTCATGTACACGAGTAAACATGCCTCTAAGAAACACGGTAGACGCCACAGGGAATGAGCGCATAGTGTGACACCACCACATAAGGGGACCTGTGGAGTACCTATTTTTAATGATCAACACTAACATAGATTTCAGGTAGTGTTATTTAGGTTACCCCACAGAACATAAAGTCTCTAATTTCCTTTATGACCTCTCACTGGGATGGTCTGATAGAAGTTGTGGCCTCATCTTATGTGTGGTATTTTTATGTTTTCCATATTTTTTGTTTGAAAATGTTTCCTGGGCATTCCAACGGGGGACTCTTATTTTGAATATAAACCCTGGTTTGGGAACAGGAAAGGGAAGTGTGGCAGCCATTTTCTTGGAGGATCAAGTTTGGGGAAGACAGGCCTGGTGGATCATTGCTGTTCAAGCCCTAACAAACTTTTACTCCTTTTCTACTCATCTTTGTCCTTGAAGAGTGGATCCCCCTCTAACTGTGGAGTTACCTCAAGGAACTGGGTGAGCTCATTCCTGTGTTTTTTTGTTTGTTTTTTTTTGTTTTTGTTTTTGTTTTTTTTGCATTGCTGGGCCCTGTTTTGATTTTTGATTTGAGTATTTTTGGGATACGGTTTGCTAGGGCAGTTTGACATTTTTGGACTTCTATTCAATAGAGACAATCTTCAATAGAGACAATAACTCTATCCCATCTAATGGACTTCTGCATCAGATCTTATATTCAACTGCTTCTCTGCTTTGTTTGCTGGTGCTGTTGCTGATGCTGTTAGTGTTGTCTGTTCTGGGGATTAAGTAAAACCTAACTGGTGCAAGCTCTGTGGTATTCTGGTGCTCACGGGTTTTCCTCACCAAATTAGTGATCGGATTTTTTAGTGAACTGCTGAGTTGGTCAGATTGTTACAATGGTGGTATCAAAAATATTTTAGGGGTCTCCCTCTCTGTCAGCAGTACTTGTGCACACCACAACCTGACTGGTTTGACTTTTGTCGTTTAGTGGCCTTTTTCAAACTGTCTCTGGAATGTTGTATCGGTAACTCCAGACAAACATTTACATGTAGTAAATAAATTAAAATAAAACATGCATTCCTGCCATTATTCACTCGTGCACACATACACACACAGTCATACCTGTAAACCTTATATTGTGCAAAATATGTGTCTTATATTAAAGTGCTGAGTGCAGCAGCAGTTGAAGGGTGTATAGTGGCAAAGAAAGGGATCAATGAGGTAACTAAGGCTACGTTTACACAGCAGGTAAAAGTGGCCCAAATCTGATTTTCTCACCAAATCCGATTTTTTTGTTTGGCTGTTCACATTATCTTTTAAATGTGACCTGTATGAGACATCAGTCTGAACAGATCAGCTCCTAAACAGACCCGCATGCTCCCGGAGGATCAGTTTCGTCTTCACCAGCATCACAGGAGCGAGTGTAAAGTTCCAGTGGTTGATAGCTGGACTCATCACCCACAATGCGTTCGAGTTCGCCGTAAAAGGGCGCGGCCACTTCTTTGGTTCGAGTCCTCGGATTCTTTAAACTGGTCTCTGACGCTGCAGCCTCGGGCTCCTCCGAAACCTCTTCAAACACGGAGCGCTTTGATGAGTCTCTTCTAATGTTTTAACACAGAAACATCAGACTAAATGTTTGAGTCTCAGCAGCGCGAAATTATGACGAATGTCGAGTTGGACTGACGTAAAAGTCGCATGAATTCCGATCTGGCTGTTACTGAGTCGCATTGCCGCAGATCGGATACGTATCGGATTTCAGTACCACATATGAAAGCGTCTCAAATCGGAATTGAAAATGTCAGATTCAATGCGTTTTTTGCTGTTCACACAGCCACACAGACACACATCTGTGTCACGTGAGGAAAAAGATCGGGTCTGGGCCACTTTTACCTGCTGTGTAAACGTAGCCTAAGATGCTAGAACTAAACACTGGTCTGAGACGGTATCTTCAGAGGATGGAATGTTGAGTGTGATACTATATCCCAATATATTTAGAAGTGCAATTTAGAAGCTGGAATATTGTTTGTGTAATATTTTAATTGTTCAAGAGAGTGATGGCTTGTGGGAAGAAGCTTTTCCACAGGTTTTTCTAAATTTTAGCCGTTGAGACATACCCCCCTGGGAGGCGTGGTGAGGTGGAACAAAAGGGCCGTCTAGCTGTCGACGTTTTACTTGTGAGAACTTTTTTTGTTTGTGTATTAATTATTTTTATTATTATTTTTTTCTGTCTGTTTGTCTCTCTCTCTCTCTCTCTCTCTCTCTCTCTCTCTCTCTCTCTCTCTCTCTCTCTCTCTCTCTCTCTCTCTCTCTTCCGGTCTCTCCATTCACAGACTGCTTTTGCCATCAAACATGTAGAAGGCCTCTGGCTGGTGTAATTGGGGGAGGAGCCCAGGTCTCAAAAGAAGGCCTTCAAAATGGCTGAAGGGAGAGAGGGGACACACCACTTGTAATGTGTTTTAACTTGTTTGTGTTTTGAAAACTCTCGTGTTAGGAGTGTGCTTTTGTTTTGGGTATTTTAGCAGTACTTCATGTACAAGTGCTTGTCTCTTGTCTTAGAGGACTATCATCGCTATACACGTAGTTATAATCACATGCTCAGTATTTTTGCGTTTTGCTGCACTCTCTTGTAGAGCGTTTACTTAGTTTTGCTAAATGAACACTGGTTTTATTAAACATGTTTGTTTTCTTTGTCGAGTTGTTGCTGTGAAGAATGCTGTTTGGTTCTGCTATATGCCGACCGGCCACTTGGTTAAGTACACCTACCTTGTATCTACAATCCTTGTCCATTTTTGTCAAGCATGTTTATCGTAGGTTCACTTTGTAGCTGTACAATTACGGACTGTAATCCATCTGCATAATTTGTTAGCCCCCTTCCACTCTGTTCTTCAGTGGTCAGGACCAACATAGAGCAGGTGTTCACTGGGTGGTGGATCATTCTCAGAAAAGCACTGGTCAAAGGACGCTGCTCACAGGACACTGTTGCCTGGACTGTGTTACGTATGTAGTTGGCATTATTCACCGTAAATGCAGCTTTTGCTTTTTTTTTATTTATTTATTTTTTTTTAAAGATCAGACTACTTAAGTAGTTTTAGTTTTTCCTCAGTTGCATTGACAAGTGAAATAAAGTACACATCCTGTACAGAGAACAAACTTGCTCAATTGAAGCTATTGGGTAGAAATAATACGCATAGAAAACGTAGCCGGTGGAAGGCAGTAATCTTAATGCTGCGGCAAAAATATTACTGTTGACATACGAAGAGAAATTGTTGTTTAAGAAAATCGAATGAGCATAATAAGTGAGGTAAAAGTTTGTTTTGAATGATTGTTGTTAGTAAAAATATATAAACACGTGCTCAGTATTTTTGCATTTTTCTGCACGGTTTTGTAGAGTGTTTACTTAGATTTGCTACGTAAACACTGTGGTTTTATTAAACACGTGTAGTTATAGTTTTATTTGTCGACTTGTTGCTGTGAGGAATGCGATTTAGTTCCACTATACAGCGACCGGCCCCTTGGTTAAGTACACCTACCTTGTATCTATGATCCTTGCCCATTTTTGTCAAGTATGTTTTTATATGTGCACTTTGTAGCTGTACAATTACAGACTGTAATCCATCTGTTTCTCTACATAAATTGTTAGCACCCCTTTCACTCTGTTCTTCAGCGTTTAGGACCAACATAGAGCAGGTGTTTACTGGGAGGTGGATCAGTCTCAGCACAGCACTGGTCAAAGGACGCTGCTCACAGGGCGCTGTTGTCTGGACAGTGCCGTATCTAGTTAGTGTTAGATAGAGAGATCACTTTATTAATCCCAGAAGGAAAGTTGTCTATTACAGCAGCATAAAGTACGGTAAAGAGCAAAATGAGCAAAAAAGAGGCAAAGTATTGCCGTACGTTATTTAAATGCATAAATAGAAGTAAAGGCGTAAAATGTAAAATATAGCCAAAAAGCATGAAAATATAATGTGCAGTAGAAATATTAGTAATATATTTCACAGGTGACAATGTAGTGGTGAACCCACCCAGTGAATGAAGCGAGTGACTGGAACCAGACCCGGACTGGCCATCGGGAGACACGGGAGACGGCTTGGCTATAGATAATGTTATAACATATGACGAACTAAACAACACAGGACACCTTGAGAACATAGTGTCACCATGCCATGCAATTGGTGCCAAAACGCCTAAGGACCGATCGCATGCATGCGCAAAATTATCACGTGTCCACATGTAAAAAAGCAAGTGTGCATGCGGCAAAAAATACATGTTTACACGTCTTGACATCTTACATCCAACCAGTAAAGCTGTATATGAATATATCTGCATTCTAATAAGGGAGCGTGACGAGACCTGACGAGATATATTATATTCCATATTGAAGCGCTTGCGTGTGTCACTACACAGTGTATATGTACTGTGACATACCCGCCTACGTTGTGATACATAATCTGCTTGTGATAATACGTAGGGGCTTCGCAACTCAAACGGTATAATCATATGACCATGATGTAAAGTTGCGAGTGTGCGCAGGTGTATGTTTTTAGCATGTGAAAATATGGCTCTTGCAAAATTTTCTTATGAATTGCACAACAGTTTTTGCGGACTGCACGAGGCTTGCAGTGTCTGATTATGTTCAAGCAGATGCGGAAATCATAATAGTGTGCTAAGTAGCTACAGACCTTTAAATCAATAAATAGAACTACGGTTTGTTTTATTGGTGCGCTCTATTGCTGTTTCTACCTAAAAATTCATGGAAGCAATTCATTCAAAAACATTCTTTGGACTGGCATGTTACGATTTTCTACCACTGGCAGGTCCTCGGGCACGCACATTCAACGAGCAGAAACCAACGCCAAGCAACGCTGGAGCTACGGGAAGTGAAAAGGCCCAAGAAGCGTGTTTCTACCGGCGTAGAGCAATATTTCCCAGTAAAATTGAACCAAAATCAGTCTTTTGTACGATTTTTTTTTTTCTGTTCACTGTGATATAACATTGTTTTCGAAATGTCATTTCAGAAATTATACACATGTACATGCTATGCATGTGTATTACCCTCCAGCTCAGGGATATTAATACAGCCTGTGTGGAAAGACCTTTCACATTTATCACAGGCAATCTGTAAAACGAAAAGATAATAATTTAAATAAATTAAATAAATTACCAGATTTAATTTTAAATCTTGCTGACTTTCCAGTTATACCTGGTTCAGCAGCAAAAAACCTTGGCATCATGATTGATCCAGATTTATCATTTGATCAACACATAGGCAGCATCACTAGGACAGCTTTTTTACATCTTCGCAACATTGCCAAAATAAGAAATGCCTTATCGCTGCGTGATGCAGAAACATTAGTACATGCCTTTATTACTTCAAGGCTAGACTATTGTAACGCACTACTGTCAGGATGCACCAGCAGGAATTTAAGTAAACTTCAACTAGTTCAAAATGCTGCAGCCAGGGTTCTCACTAAAACTAGAAAATTTGATCATATCAGTCCAGTTCTATCATCACTTCACTGGCTGCCTGTTAAATTCCGTATCGATTACAAAATTCTTTTATTGACGTATAAAGCCCTACATGGGCTCGCTCCTGAGTACCTGCAAGACCTTATTTCCCATTATGAGCCACCACGATTACTCAGATCACAGAGTGCTGGCTTTTTAACAGTTCCCAAAATTCAAAAGGCTTCAGCTGGGGGAAGAGCCTTTTCTTATAAAGCCCCCAAACTCTGGAATGATCTTCCAGAAAATGTTCGGGACTCAGACTCAGTCGCAATCTTCAAATCTAGGCTGAAAACTCACTTGTTTAGTTTTGGTAGTTAATGTTCCCCCTTAGATAAAGGCAGCAGATCCAGGCGTTCATGGACGCAGGGAATTATAGTAAACTGAGACGCTGGTGCTGTTGTCCCGCCGCTCGCACGCGATCACTCAGGTTTGTGGACGGTGGAGCGGAGGGATGCCAGATTGTTTCAGGGTGCTCCCGTGTCTGTGTGCCCTTTTGGTTCTCTCCTTTTAGTTAAGCTGTTATAGTCAGATCTGCCGGAGTCATTAGCCACACTCTGGAAATGTTCACATTCTCTGTTTTACATACACTCAAACAAAATAAAACTAATTCCATCTCCCTTCCTTTTTCCGAGTAAACGACTGCCCACCTGCCGGACGGACACTGATGGATGATTGTCTGTGGAGCTCTCCTGCTATCCGCTTCAGACCAGTTGCCCACGCCCCAGTCGCCGCCACTTGCCCAGCTACCGCCACTTGACTTGGACTAGCTGCCCACTCCCACTCTACACTGAAGTTTTTCATGGACTCCTAACTACTACTACTACTACTACTACTATTAATATTAGGAGTATAATAATTTTGTAGGTAGCTTGACCAGAGGAGGATGGGTCCCCCCATGTGAGCCTTGGTTCCTCCCAAGGTTTCTTTCTCAGCTCTGAGGGGGTTTTTCCTTGCCACTGTCGCCCCTGGCTTGCTCACTTGGAGGATTTACATTTCATGTTAAAACTTTGTCTTTAATGGATTTCTGTGAAGCTGCTTTGTGACATCAGTTGTAAAAAGCGCTATACAAATAAATTTGATTTGATTTGATTTGATAACTTGTACACTTTTTTAAAGTTAATGTAATAAAAATAGTAGCGGACAAAGTGCAAAACTTATGTATTTGAGGGAAAAGAAGAAAATAAAAACTTTATATTCATCTTGATATTAATATTCATGTTCATATTTGAGTTTAAGCCTAAGTGTACTTCCTTAATAAATGTTAAGTTATTAGTTTCCATTATTTTGATGAACAGTTTGGATTAAAGAAACCTAAGTGGCCACAGACACAGACAGTGAATTCCGTTCTTCATGTCTGCACCAACACCTTAATGGAATTTTATTAGACTTTGAACTTTAGCAGAAACATAGATGTTTTGTACCTTGTCCATCACTACAAAGAAACATAGGAAAATATTGTAGTTCTCTTATAAAGTAACAAACTTATGTACAGCCATAATGTAATAATTACCCAGAGAATTTCTGCAGCTGACTCATGTAATTCTGTCTCCCCACATAAATGATATAAGTTGCTAAGGTCGTCTGGTGATTCAACCATACACTCTCAGGTAGCATTCCATACCTAGAATGGTACAATCACTTGTCACTGTGGCAGTACCCTTTAAGGGTACAGAAGTGCACTTTTATTTATAAGGACAAATATGTACCCTTACAGCTTGTACCTTAAGGGAAGGATTTTGTACTCTGGGAAACAAAGTAGTACCTTACCCATACAATAGTCAGGGGTACAAATATTGTACCTTTTTTTTAATGGTACAAATAGGTTCCCATAAGGTACTGCCACAGTGACGAGACCAAATGTACCTTAAATGTGACAATTATGTTCCTTTTATTGTTCTTTCAGATGGCAAATCTGTACCTTTTAAAAAATGAAATAGACAGAAAAAGATTTTTTCCCAGTTTATTAGACTCGAAGCCACCAGAATATAAAAATATGAATTAAAACAAAATGTTAACAATGCATGTAAATAAGCACTGTTTACTGTATTGTAAACAACAATGTAACAGTTGACACTTAGGCTGTGTCAATGACATTTACATTTGTATTGCAGTTGAAGTACAAAGTAACATTAATTATCTGGCATATAAAGAACAGGCTAAAAAGATAACTCAGTTGATAGCAATGCATCACTCATTTGAATTCACTGAATTAATTAAAATGAACAACATGCATCTAGGATGAGAATCATCAAGAGTAACACTTTACTGAAGGGATGTGTTCACAGGAGTACACAACACCAACGTTTCACTACCACTGACAAACCTATAAACATTTATAAAGGCTTATTTAAACATCTATAAAGCTGCAGTTGTCATTACACTTTCTGAGGTGAAAGACTGACAAAAGTTACAACTGGCAGTTCTTTGTAAGTAGTTATTAACCCCGGTAATTGTCAAAATCATTGATGAGTTATGC